CTACCCCACCAGTGCCTCGTCTCAAACAATTTCCTCCTTCAATTTACTTTTCGATTTCTTCTTCGATTTCCCGTGGGGATTTCTAATTTCCTCTTAATCTCCTTTTGGATTCATCTTATGGGGATTTCTACCTGGGGAATTGTTATCTGTCCCTTTCTCTCGGAATCTTGCTGAGAAAGTTAATCGGTCCCAAATTGTTTCAAGTGGTGCAAGCAGCCTCGATTTCATCTACAAAATCAGTCCTTGGTCCAATCAATGTCCTAGAGCCCTCAATTTATGGAGAAATTAAGCAGAGGAAGCTTCCCTTAGACTCAAATGGATGGTTAACTCAGGTAAATAATGTGATTAATCCCAGTGTTCGGATGATATGTGCGATTGAAGTTATTGTTGAAGTTTCTCAAAATGAATTGGTAGATAATAGGTAATAAATTGTTGGGTTTTGATTAGACGAGATTTGGAAGATAAGTGTCTCTTTAAACTATGCATACAATATGTTTGTAAAATTGACTAAATGGATTTTGCTAAGGCATTTTCTCTTAACACATACCGGATTAGGCATTTTTTAGAAGGTTTCTCCTTTTTTTTTTTTTTTTTGGTAAAGAAAAGGTTTCACTTGAAATTATATAAATTATAAAATATTGGTCATTTCTTGAAAATTTATTGATTATGATTACCCATATTTGTCTTCACACAAGGCATACCTAATCATAAATTATAGATTGTGGAGGGAGCAAATCACTATTACACAAGGCATCAAATTGAATTAGTGTCAGTTGCTGCAAAATTTCTAAAAACAACCCTATAATTAAGAAGACAAGGGTTCTGCAAATCAGGTAGCTTTCTGTTGATTGGCATTTTTTTTTTCTTTTTTTGTTTGTTAAATGGCAGATTCGCTGAACTTCGAGCATTTAACCTTGTTCCTGATAATGAATCAATGTAATACAGGTGCCCGGTGGAATGCAACCATGATGTTATGGATCTGAAACCACACTAATACAATCAAGATAAATCACCGTTGGAATATAGACACCACTGTTGTTTCTGGATCTAGAACACCATCCTTGAGCACTTGATAAATCATCATGAAACTGATTCAGCAACAAAAGCAAATACGTGAAGATTTACCAATAAAAAAGGCAAATACATGAAGAATCAAATAAATAAATCAGTCAGCTACTTTCCACAACACACACAAAAAGAAAAAA